TATATATATATATATATATATGTGTGTGTGTGTGTGTGTGTTCTTTTGTGAGTTACTATAATACAAGGATGCGATAGCGTGCAACGTTTAATACTGTACAAAAACTCCTTACCAACCTTTTACCCACATGGGACCATATCTGTACAAAATGGAGATATTAACGGGTCAAAACCCATTACTTATTTAAATTACTAACATTATAGGGTCATAACCTCTTACGTATTTAAATTGCTAACAGCAAAAAGTCATAACCCATTACTTATGTAAATTACTAACAGTAAAGGGTCATAACCCATAACTTATATTAATTAGTAACGTTAAAGGGTCATAACCCATATCTTATGTTAATTAGTAACATTAAAAGGTCATAACCACTTATGTAAATTACTAAAATGAGATTTCTTATTAAAATTTAGTTGTAATTGAAATATTTTGATGTATAGAACTTAAAATTCAACATACAATTAATTATGAGTGCACGGACCGGATAAAATCAGTCCTGAGGTCGGATGCGGGTCCCCAGTTGGTCAACGTTGTTATTTGTCATTATAGGGTTCTTCACGAGTAGAAACTTTGATTTTTTTATTGCGTAATATATGAATATCATTAAGCATAGACTTAATAAACTTCAGTTCGTTGTTTATATCTGACTGAAGTTTATCAATTATTTCATCCACCTTGCTTCAAACCACCAGGTCTTGTCATCGTCAAAGTGCCTAAATCTGGTGGTTAAAGTCTAAAAATAATATTGGGAAGAATACCTAAAGTTATAATAAATCTAATATTGTGCATTTTATGCAACCAAAATCATTTTTATGGGTATAAGCATTATTTGATAGACATATCATAATTGATAGACAATTAAGCAATTATACTAAATAAAAACACTATCTGACAATAAAAAAAGGTTATTTGATATTATTTTGGTTTGTGTATTTTAAACATAAGGCTGCTCAATGGACTATCTGTACTGTGCTTACCGAAGGGATTAAGCCCAACATTTTAGCTTTACGAGATTCTCATAATTTATCGCATGAAGCATTATTAGACATCTTGTCCTAAGTTGACTAGTTTTGTTTTGTTTTTTAATAATACCTCTAATAAAGAATAACATTTAAGTTGTTTCTCATTTAACTTGAAATTGAAAAAATGCTGATTATTTTATTATTCATTGATTCATCGCACATATGAAATTACATGGTCCCATTTAATCTCACGCTCATATACAACTTGTGGCCCTTTTTTTTTTATGGCAAGCGTCTAACATTTGCAATATCGACATATCTCAACCATCATCAGGATGACGAACTTAATGGTTCACTGTTGAGCTTGGCTAGTGTTTCGATCATTAGGTTGATGATCTTCCTAGTTTAATGTTCAACTTGGCCAGTGTTTCGATCATTAGGTTGACGATCTTCCTAGTTTAATGTTGAACTTGGCCAGTGTTTCGATCATTAGGTTGAGATCTTCCTAGTTTAATGTTGAACTTGGCCAGTGTTTCGATCATTAGGTTGACGATCTTCCTAGTTTAATGTTGAACTTGGCCAGTGTTTCGATCATTAGGTTGATGATCTTCCTACTTTAATGTTGAACTTGGCCAGTGTTTCGATCATTAGGTTGATGATCTTCCTACTTTAATTTACGGAAAAACAGTCTGTCGAAAAAATAAAGTTTCGCGAAATAATTTGAAGAAAAGACGAATGTCTCAACTTCCATTTTCCGCCCCTCGGTAGCTCAGCGGTAAGTCTGAGGGCTTATAGTGCTCAACATCAGGTTTCGATACCCACGGTGGGCGGAGCAAAGATATCCAAACAAACAATTCATTTTCCAGCTTCGCGCTGGATCTTTCAACAGTCTGACAAAGATTGCCTTATTAGCTTGAGTATTTACGATCAATGAGTGCTTCTAATTAAAGAAGTAATTAATTCGTACATGAAAGGATTTGTCGGCATTATGGCTCAAACGTTTCGACATAAATGGGTTCGGAACTGTGTGGAAATAATCAGAATCTGCTATACTTCACATACTTCGACATGACAATCGGAACACGCTCGCCCTTTTCCGTTGTACTTCGCGGGAGGGGGGGGGGGGCTCGGTGCGAACTTCTTTTGATCGTATGACATTAGAAATGTTATATGATCAAATCAAAAATCACGTGAAAATTCATGGAGGACGCTATACTGTTTACAAGTAGTAAGCACGAGTCATAAGCGAAAAATCGGTTATGTTCAGCAAATTTCTAATACAGTGTAGAAGCTCTGTCTTGAAGGTGGAGATAAAAGTGAAAAACCACGTTAAATGAGACAACGAGACTCGGTGTGATGATTTGGCTGAATGAAATTTATGTATTAACTTTTACCAGAAGAGCTGCTAAAACCTTACGATAATAATTAAATTAACAACAAATAGTGTTCATTATAAGCAACCGGTAAATTCCAGAAAGTTTCTTTGACAAATCCGTCCTTGGTCATCAGTTGGGTGTCTTCGAAAACGACAGAGAAATGTAAATCAAGTATTGACAGTGTGAAACATCGGACCTCTATCCTGAGAAGTAATGTTGAAGTACATACTATTCTGAGTTATTTGGGAGTTTAAGATACCTAATAAAACATTTCATCTTAAATTTTACTGAAATAAATGGTTATTTATGACGATTTAAATTTTATAACCTTTTCTTGCTTATTTAGATTTTCTCTCACACAGACAAAAACGAATATAAATATATCAATATTAATGAAAGATGTGCAGAATAAAATTCAAAATGTGCAGGCCAAAATAATACGTTCAAATTCATAAAGTGGCGACAAATAATTAAACTTGGCGAAAGTAATGGCGGATAAAGAACAAGACCAGAATAATAACACAGAGGCAAAATTTACTCATTAAACTAGCAGAATAAAGGACAATTTGTGCATGTAAATTATATAACTGGAGAAATGCAAGACCGATTACTGTCAAACCTGTAATGTACCTTTAGGCTCCTCAGGCGAATGATATAAGGATTTCAGCATTCAGATCTGATCTCTCTATGTCACCCACAGGGTCCTTATGCTTTTGCCATACATTTAACGGATACTTCAGTTAGCGGAATATAAGTTAATCCAATTATTAAGTATTTCTTTTTAACATCAGATGGTTACGCAAAGTTCTTTACAGAGATTAAAGATACTTAGCGTGTTATAAGAGTATATCGAAGAAAACAGTTGAAACAAAATTTAGTTAGTTGTTCAACATTATCAGGGTTAGTTAATATAATTCTTATTTTCATACCATAAGGGTAAATTTTCTACCATATTGAACAAACAATCCAATAATAAATGCAAAAATATTCAATTTTACTGAAAAATGATCAAATGTGATTAGGATAGCTAAAATATTAAATACTAAAACTAACTATTTTTATAATTTGTATTCAATAAATGATCTTTCAAAATATTTCTTACGAAATAATTCGCTTAAAACAAATAAAAAACTAACAAATATATCAGTTATGTACAATCTGTTGTCGTATTCATTTGTACATTTTTCTTGTCTGTTTCAGATGCAAAATATCAGTTGTATTATTTGTTTGTTTCTAGGTTTAAATAATGTGTTGATGAGCACAATTTTTTCATGTGTAAAATAAAGAATAAAAAGATCTATTTCATTACGAAATCAGTGTTAAAAAGCCATAGTCACTAAAACGTAAACGAGTTAACTTGCGGCTATGGGAATTCTAATAAATAAAACTGTAAAAAGCGGTCTGTTAACGAGAAAGTGTGTACTGACATACAGTTTATGTCAGTGGAACTTAAGGCACAACAGATGACACACGGAATTGTACTGAACTTACATATACGCTTAAAAGAATTGTTTTTATTTCAGAAACCGAAAAAAGTGTTTAATACTGCTACACTGCTGACAAATCATCCAGTAAAATATGTTAACCGTGGACAGCTTTCACGATTCTTTTAAATAGTTCAAATACCTGGATCACGTGACAGTGATGTCATCAGCAACTAGTCTGATAACTTCTAGAGACAGAAATGATGGTGGCTGATATAATATTACATAAGCCAAGCTTGCGATCAAACAGTTCAGTCTGATTTTCAAAAACAAGAGATATATGTAAAAAATAGTTCTTTTAACTGAGAATTTGTTGCAAAAAACGGTCCAGTTTCAATTAAAAAACATATAGCGAACTGTGATATTTTTAGATGAAATGAGAACAAAAAAAGTGGATTGGAGACGACCCACGGAGCAGTCACCAAAACGAAAATCAACATCTTTTGGATCTTCCAGCCAACTGAATTACTAATGATAATGGCTAAAGAAAAATACCTGTAATTTAGACACCAGAATTTGTGCAAGCAGTAAAATCAAGAATTAGACGAGTTTTAAGCTGTTTTTATCAGGCTTGTAATAATAGTATACTCGTGATGCAAGCAGTAAAATCAAGAATTAGACGAGTTTTAAGCTGTTTTTATCAGGCTTGTAATAATAGTATGCTCGTGATGCAAGCAGTAAAATCAAGAATTAGACGAGTTTTAAGCTGTTTTTATCAGGCTTGTAATAATAGTATGCTAATTCTTGATTTTACTGCTTGCATCACGACTCAACACAAATAAGGGAAGAACGAATTGCTGCCAATAAAAACAGCTTAAAACTAGTCTAATTCTTGATTTTACTGCTTGCATCACAAGCATACTATTATTACAAGCCTGATAAAAACAGCTTCAAACTCGTCAATGGTTTTAACTTATGGTCCTTAAACAATAAAGATTTGAACTGTGCCCAAGAACTACAAAGTGCTTATTGTAAATCAGGCATACTTACAAAACAACAGTGATACTCACTAATCCCTTTAGCCTTAAATTCATAAGCTATTCATATTTGATAAAACCACCAGATAGCTCATCATAATCTTCTAGTTTTGATCCACGTGAAACTCTGAAAAATCATCATGGTTTTATTGGCACAGACAAAAACGCACGTGATTACCGAAAAAGCTTTTTTTCTTTTTTTACAATCTGTGATAAGAGTTAAGTAAATCAACTTTTTTTGTTCATTAAGATTGCTTGGAGGATTAAAACAACAACAAAAAAAAAAAAGGCGGAAGAGAGCCTTCTGGTGATAAGGAGGAAACGTTAACGATTTCATTTCTATCTCTAGCAGATAATCATATATTTATATACAGACAGTCATTTTAGTATCGGCTCAAGTCTCTTGTGTATTGTTTGTAGCTACTATTGTAGCCGCTTGTCTTAGAGAAAACAAGACCACGCGTTCACACAGCTTTGATGGCTGAGTTGGCCCGAACTTTTCCCTTCCGCACACCTCCTGTTGAAACCGAACCTTTAAGGATTTTCAGGCAGTCCTGCTCACAGAAGACGCTTCCGTTGACAAGGTTGTAACGATCACCTGGAACCAGTTGATTGCGACATTTAACGCAAGAGAAACACTTCAGATGGTAAACGTTCCCGTGGGTCCTCATGACAAACTCGTTGGCGGGAATTACCTGAGCGCAAGCACTACAGGCACCGGTGTTACCAAACATCCTGGGAAGAAGAAATACTATAGTTAGTGACAAATATAACAACAACAACAATTAATGTGACAAACTCGTTGGCGGGAATTACCTGAGCGCAAGCACTACAGGCACCGGTGTTACCAAACATCCTGGGAAGAAGAAATACTATAGTTAGTGACAAATATAACAACAACAACAATTAATGTGACAAACTCGTTGGCGGGAA